GAGGGGACAAGACTCCGTCTCAGAAAAAAAAAAAAAAAAGAAACTCTATCCTTGATTTCTCCCACGTCTGCCCTCACAGTTCAGTCAGTCACCAAGTGCTGCCACTTCTACTACCTAAAATTCTTCTGAGATCTATTTCTATCCACACTGGCAATACCCCAGTATAAACTGCCGTCTTTCTTTCTCTGGGTTACTACAATGATCTCCTGACTGTTTTCCTTTCTGCTGGTATTGCCACTCTTTGAGTCCTTTATTTCAGAGTAGCCAGATTCATCATACTAACCTAATCCTGTTGAAACCATTCAAACTTACTATTAGCCTTAAGGAGTCCAACTTTTGTTACATATTCACTAATGCTCTTCATGATTGGTCCCTGTTTACCTCTCCACCCTTGTCGAGAATCTCATTTCCTAGACTGTGTTCTTCATAAACAGTGCTAACCTCTATCTATAATGCTTGTCTTTTACCCTTTCAATTCCTGGCTATTCTCAAACATGGAGCCAATCAGATGGAACTGCCTTTTTGGCTGTTGTTGTTTTTTCCCTGTGAGAATGTAAACTCTATGAGGAAATTATTAGATTGGTTATTGCCATATTTGCTTGTTCATTATTATATTTACAGTATCTAGCTCAGTGTCTGGCAAAAAATAAGGGTTTAATGAATATTTTCTGAATGAATCTATGAACGTCAAGAAAGCACAGAGAAAATTCAACCAACTCCGACTATGGAATAAGGAAAGGCTTCTTGGAAGAACCTTTAAAAATTAGTAAGGATAAGAAAGAGTCAGCCAAAGAAAATAAAGAGAGTCCAGACAAAGTCAACAAGAATGGGAAAAGGTCTCAGGTGTAAAACAGCCTCATAAATGTGAAGTGGGTAGAAGGGAAGATGGTACTGGAAAGGGAAACAGTGGCAAGATGATGAAGACTCTAGCACACCAGCCATGGAGATGAATTACCTTGAAGGTGACTGCAGAGGGGGATTAGAACTTTAAGGCGGCTAGTGAAATAGATTTACATTTGAGACTGGTCATTCTGGCTGCTACTTACAAGATGGATTTGGTGGTGTAGGTAGGGGTGGTACTAGTTATGGCTGAAGGAAGTGAGATGAGATAGAATTGGGAGTACAAGTGAAAGGAAAGGATGAAGTAGAGTTTGAAGGGCTCGTGAGCCTCCCAAAAGTCTGAACGTCAAGGAAGAGGTCAGAATAGCAGTAGTTTTAGGATCCATGAGCAAATAGGTTAAAACAATGAGTGGATAATGCCCACAGGGAAGATACAAACAGAAAACTACTCAAGGTTGGAACTTTGGGAAATACTATTTAATGGGTAGGCAGAGGAAAAAGGACCCCAAAGAAGCATGAGGCAGGTAGAAAAAGATGGGAGAGATGAAAAAGGAGTTTCAGGGAGGGTTTGATCATGATACCAAATGCAGAAGCGAGGTCTAGAACAATAAACAGTGGTCATACAAAGGTGGAGGAAGTACATTTCATTTTCTGAGACAGACAAGTAAGACAGGTGGATATATGTGGGAATGACAGAAATAGAAAGGCAGGATGTTATATGTTGTATGATGGCTTTAATTTTCTCAATTAACTGGGAAAAAAGTACTGGGACTGCCTGTGGCCCCTATGGAATCTATTCATAAGAATGGGTGCCTGATGGCAAGTAGAGTGTAGAACCTAGTCTTAGTATTTCACTTATTCCTACCACATTAGACCAAGTGAATCAACTTTTTGTCCCTATTGATCTATTAAACAAAGTAGAAATACCAGTTTGGGACCCCTCTGTCACTTAAAAAGAGAGATTTGTTTAAAGCACTAGATATCACAGCATCACCAATTGCATTGAAGATAGTACTAGCATTGTGCAGACTGCCACACTCTCTCTGGAACATCCCCATCTTGTCACTCAAAGGTCCATTCAGTCCTTACAGGCCTGTCATCCAGAATTTAAAGTGCAGTCTGGAAAAGGAACATGTAACCAAAATTAGAAAGGCAATAGGCACAACTAATTGCAGATGCATACGAATGTGTTGTGCTTGAAACACACCTTTAAGACTACTCTGGTCACTTTCTATTAAAGAGAGAATTTTAGGTTGGGAAGAGGAATGACGAAAGGGTAAAGTTTGTGAGAAGTTGCTGAAAGTTACAGGACAGGAAATTGCTGATGATAAACTAAAGGATTGTCAGGAATCAAAGAAAGAGCTGAAGATGGAGACTGACAATATGTCATATATCACTTTGTATCACTTTCTACGGTGTTTGCAGCTGAGGATTTGTAGACAAGATTCAGGGACAAGATTCTGACAGGCACCTGTGTCAGAGGTATCAGACAAAGGGAGTTTCGATGCTGATAAACCATATAGTCTTGGCTGGGAAGGGTGGTACTGGCAGGAGGGCTCACAGGGAAAATGAAATAGAAGGGCAGATGCAGCGCATGTGAGGGTATAAAATTACGATGGCACAGTCAGAAAGAATACTAGAGTTAAGTTTTCTGAAATAGTCAGTGTTTTTATGGATGATAGCAAATCTCTTAGACTAATGTCGAGGGTGAGAATTCTGCTATTCCATCTTATACCTTACAGTGACCAGTATCAGGCAACTAAAAGTTTTAAAAAGTCAGATTTAACCTTCTAATTAAGAACATTTGAATAAACACTCAATTTTTCAATAAATAATTTACTTCTATCAATTTATCACATCAATAGTAATATTAAGCCCCCCCCCAATAAACAATATTTATTACAGATACAACAAAATGGTTGTCTTGCTCTTTCTTCCTTTGTCTCATTTTTCTCTTTCTCCACGGTCCATTCTGATCTTAGTTTTCACATAAATCGCCTGTTTTTTCTTGTCTAGACTCTCAGCAACAATTTAGACATCTGTTGAGCACTCACTACTTGCAAGGTATTTTACTAGGGACCATGTATTAATAATAATGGTCAAAATAACAGCTAATACTTACCAAGTACTCACAATTTTGGCAGGCACTTAATTAAGCACTCTACAGGAACTAATTCACTTAATCCTATAAAGCAGATAGAACTGTCACCCCTATTTTAAAGATGCAGAAACCAGATCAGTTAGGTTAAACAGCTTGCCCAGGTCCACCTAGGTAGTAAATGGTATAATCAGGAATTTCAATCCAAGTCCCTTCAACGGTAGAGATGTGCTCTCAGCCACTAAGCTATGATTACCTTTTTGGTGGAAGATATGCATGTATAAGTAATCAATTTGATTTAGTAAGTTTCAATGAAATAGGTCTCTTTTTTCTGCTTTCCTCACTGTCTCTGATATTTTTTTAAAATCTATTTTCTTAATCTTTTTTTGTGTTTTACAAGGTTCTGACTTTGAGACTTAGATCAGTAAATAGACATAGAAAGGAAAAACAAAGGCCCTGAACGACTGAATCTGAAACGTATTTTTATTTAGAATTGTTAAAGACTATTATATCAATAGGTTTACTCCTTCAACCCACACGACAAAGCACTGGAAATTGTGTCTACATTCAACACAACCTTTCTAGCACTTTTCTTTCACATAATTCAGTTCAGGTTCTCCATCCAACACACGACTGTCACCAGATGGTGCTCTACTCTGTGACCAGATATAAGTCTGATTACATCCTCTCGTGACCCAAACCTCAATAAAACATAATGGTTTTCTCCCCTGACCACGAGGCCTGCCGTAGCTTCCTAACTTGTATTAAGTGCAGTGTTCTCACTCTTGCCAAAACAAAAAAAAATACCATGTAAAAAAATACAGATTTCAGGGCCTCTCATCTGAAGAATCCAACTCACTCAGGAATGTACAAGTTTGGGGAACAGCTCAGTGGTGGAAAGTACCCGGTGTGCCTGACTCCTGCTGAGGGCTGATCAAAGAGGGAGAAGCTAAAAATCAGGAGAACTGGTTTCTGCTTTAGACAGTCCCACTTACTGTGTAACTTCTAACAAATCACTTCTCTCTGAGTCGTTTTCTTATCTGTAAAAGGGAGAGGATTTGACCAGATGAACTGTCATGTTCCTTTCACCTCCTGAAGTCGTGCTTATGAGCACAGAATCAGAGAACCTGTGTTCATATCCAAGATATGCTACTTGTGTACTACTGTATGCAGAGAACTGCATTCTCTGATTCAGAGCCTTCATCTGAGGAGATCATGATAGTATCTCTCCACTCCCCCTTTCTCCTCTTTAATGAAGTCTGAGATGATGGTTAAAGCATCTAATAGAACCCGGCACATAATCAATGTTCGACAAGTTATTATTGCTCTGGAATTCCTTTTTTTTTTTTTTTTTTTTAATTGAGACGGAGTTCCCTCTTGTTGCCCAGGCTGGAGTGCAATGACGCGATCTCGGCTCACCGCAACCTCCGCCTCCTGGGTTCAGGCAATTCTCCTGCCTCAGCCTCCTGAGTAGCTGGGATTACAGGCATGCGCCACCATGCCCAACTGATTTTTTGTATTTTCAGTAGAGACGGGGTTTCACCATGTTGACCAGGATGATCTCGATCTCTCGACCTCGTGATCCACCCGCCTCGGCCTCCCAAAGTGCTGGGATTACAGGCGTGAGCCACCGCGCCCGGCTCTATTATTCTGGAATTCTATAAATTAATCCTGTCCGTACTACCTTGTCACCCTGAATTTAGTGAAACTTCCTCCACTTGGTTTTGTTCTTCAACTCGGACACCGAAACGCTCTAAGCGCTGGCGGAAGTGACGCAGAGCTGGGCTCAACCCCAGACTCCTCCCCGAAACCGCGGCTCTCCCAAGTCCTGCGGAATTCGGGTTTCGACTCTACCCCAGCTCCGCGAACAATGGTTCCGCCTTGCGCCCTGCCCCTTCCATGACAACTGCAGCCCCCACCCGCCGGTAGTCTTTTGAGCCCAACCGGCATCCGTCGCGGGCGGAAGTGGGCTTGGCGGAACGGGGCGGGACTTCCAGTAGGAGGCGGCAAGTTTGAAAAGTGACAACGGTAGACGTTTGCTGATTTTTGGCTTTGCTTGCAGCTGCTCCCCAAACTCACCGCCTTCCTGTGGGCGGCCGGCGCTGTAGGTGAGTACGAGAGGATGGAGGAAGGGAGCCTGCGGGCGCCTTCTCCGTCCCAACGCGCGGGCAGGACGCTGTGGTGTGGGTCGGGACGCCGGGCCTGGAGATGTTTTCGTTGTACTCAGCGGTGGGAGGAGGCTGAAGAAACCAGCGCTTGGGAGGTGAGGGGCGGACCCATCGTTACTTTTTATTTAATTTTAGTACCGGAAACAACCAGAGCTTAGTTCCTCCGAAACTAGTGGATGTTTCCTGGTGCAGCATAGACCGAAGAAGACGAGCTTGAGCTGAAATTGTTCAACTTAGGTTAGGTTTCTGTGGTTTTTGGAAAGGTGGTGGTAATGTGGCTTGTTTGGCTGCAGATGCTTGTCAGCTTTTTGCAGAACGTCTCCTAACCAAATTAAAAACCATTAATGAAATGGCAAAATTTTCACACTTAATCCAAAATTCAAAGGAAGAGAGCGGCGCACATATAGCACTACGCATGCGTAACGCGATGATTTTTTTTTTTTTTCTCTCTTTAAAAGTTCAAGGAACGTTTTACTTAATTTATTGAAATTGGGAGTCATTTCTGTTTGTTTTAATCTCTGCCTTCTGGAACTGTGAAGTCCAGAAATAATTTATTTTAACAAAACAAAGTGTGTAAAATTTAACAGGTAAACTTTTGGTACCTACTCTGCTCAGCATCGTAGTGCTGCAAATAAATGAGAAACCAGAGGAGTAATTAGCAGTTAATCTCTGCTACTCTAGTCGTTAGAGGATTGCTGCATATATATTAAGTCATTTATATACTTATCCCACCTGGAACCTCAAACTATGTAGTTGGAAGCTGTCTTTTTTCTTCTCTCACTCTCCAAACATACACGTTAATGAATAAATTGTAACCGAAACTGTACTTTGAAAGAATGATAGAATTTGGATTTTGGAAGAGGTTCCAAAAGGAAATATTGGAAGTTTGGGAAAGTTAGGAGACTAACTTGGAGCAAAAATTTCATTGAATTACTAAAGGTTTTAGAAGCCTAGCAGAAAAATTTGAATTTAACGTGTTGGGTAAGGTAATTGAAGTATTTTCATACAAATGTTATATGATGCATTGTGTTTTTATAAGGATTAATCTGATAGCAGAGTGCCAAACATTCGAGAAGAGAGGAATGAATGATAATAATTATGAAGATATTTTATACCTACACTTTCTATTGCAATATTCTCTAATTCAGATGCAGCTTGATTTGGAAAAGTGACTTTTTCTGAAGTCTTTCTTTGGTCTGATCCTTTAATGAACAATTTTTAAGTCTATAACTTAGATGAAAATGTAGAATGCATATTTATGCTGAAGGGGACATCTAATATGTGATGCATAAGAATCTAGATTCTATAAGATCCTAATTCTGTGGCCTGGCAAGGTGTCTCACGCTTGTAATTCCAGCACTTTGGGAGGCTGAGGTGGGAGGATCCCTTGAGCCCAGGAGTTTAAGAACAGCCTGGGCAACATAGTGAGACCCCATCTTCACACACACATGCGCGCGCGCGCGCGCACACACACACACACACACACACACACACACACACATTAATTAGCAGGGCCTGGTGGTGTGTGCCTGCTGTTGTCCCGGCTACTTGTGAGGCTGAAGCAGTAGGATAGCTTGAGCCTGGGAGGAGTTCGAGGCTGCAGTGAGCTCTGATTGTGCCACACTGCACTCCAGCTGGGGTGACAAACTGAGACCCTGTCTCAAAGGAAAAAAAATAAACAAAAGGTCCTAGCTCTAAAAGGAAAGCTTGCAATCATGAAATTTAGTGGTAGAAAGTACAAACTTGCCTAAGGTTTAAATAATCAGTGTATACAACAACACAAGTGACACAGTAGATGTGACCAAAAAGAGAGAGAGAGAGAGAGAAAGGGAGGGGGAAAGGAACAGGGAGAAGCTGGAGCTTGATGTAAGTGGGTCATGATGAAGTTATTGGAGTTTCGGTTGATCAGTAAGTGCTACGCAGAGGCCATTAATACTGTGCCCTAGGCAGACCATATTTGGAGGGTCATGTTCAGTTTGGGCATTACATTTTAAGAAGACATTTACAAAATAGTGTGTGTTAGAGGAAGGTGGATAAGTTGGTTTCTAAAACAATGTCATAAAAGGAGTATTTTAAAGTTACATATAGCCATATATAAAGAAGTCATACATATTTTAGAGAAGGGAGGGCTTAGCAGACGTGTAATAGCTTTCTTTACATTTTTGAAAATGGTGTCATGTAAGCAGATTAATTCTATTATTATTATTCCATTTAGTTGCAGTGACTATACATAGGACCAGGAGGTAAAATTACAACAAAACATGTTTCCACACACTACGAAGAAGAGTTATTTAATTTGGAACTATAATAAAGTGGGAAAAAGTTAGATTGAGAGTTAGTGAATTCTGTGATGTTGTCACATGTTCAAGCTGAATTGGGAAGTTATTTGTTAATCGTTGCTTAGAATAGTTTCCATTCATTAGAGGTTAGGCAAGTTGCCAAAGCTTCTTTTTAACCCTAAGATTCTAAAAAACATTAGGAGCCTAAAGAAATAGATTTCCAGAATTGTTGGCCATTTCAATTTGTTTGCAAAATTGAATATATTCACCTTGGGTCTCTGAGATCATTCTGTTTCACTAGAGAGTAGGGGATCCAAAGGTAACACAATAGGTTTAAGTGAGTGGCTGAGAGCAGTAGCAGTGGCTGCTATTGCCGCTCATTTTCTTCTTGCTGTTACCTTGCTATTTTTGTGATTACAGTGAGAGATATGAAGAAAATGAAAAGATCCTAGCTTACTGTAATGTCACAATGTAGTGTCAGAGTTCTTTAAACATAATTCCAGTACATTGCAGCAAGTATTATAACAGGGTTAAATGCAAAGGTCTAGGACAAGGTTCCCTTCCCTTTTCCCTTCTCTTTTCTCTCCCCTTTCCTTCCCCTCTCTTTTCCCTTCCCTTCCCTTGGGCTCAAGTGATTCACCTGCTTTGGCCTCCCAAAGTGCTGAGATTACAGGTACGAGTTTTTTTTTCATATCATCCCTGTACGTGGGTGCCCCATGTGACGAGGGAGTGAGAAAAGAAATAAGACAGAGACAAGGGTAGAAGTTCACAGCATGGGTCCAGGGTGAACTAAGATGGCCTTGAGCTCTGGGCTCCACATGCTTTTTATTGGGTGCATTGTCTTGTCAATCTTGCAGGCTGGGCTGTAGGGAGGGGGGCTGAGAAGGAAGATGGCCAAGGGAAGAGCTTGTGTTTGTGTGGTTCTTTAAGAAATGCTAACTAAGACACTGAGTTTTTACCACTCATTGTCTATCCAGGTGCATTTGCAAAAGAGGCAGAACGGTGCCCTAAGGTCTGACCACACATGAAAAATCAAGGAGTTTTTAATCTCCTCATTGAGGACACAGAGCAATGAGAATTACTCCATATTCTGAGAACATAGGCAAAACTTTTCTGTCCTGCAAGCTCCCATCTGCAAAGACCCTCCCAAGTCTTGTGAGCAGAGATTGCATTCCTTCCCAGAGTTCTTGCATAAGAATATTTGATCCATGGCACAAATGTCAGTGCATAAAAAGCAAAGTAAGTTTGTAATCATTTAACTATAAGTAACACAGTTCTGCCCCTGGCCATCTTTTCCTACATCTATTGAGCTTTGAACTGGATAATTCTTTGCTGTGGGGTCCACCCTATACATTGTAGGATGTTTGGCAGCATCCCTGGTCTTTACCCACTAGATTCTAGTTGCACCCACACTCCTGTGCTGACAACCAAAAATGTCTCCGGCCATTGCCAGATATGCCCTGGGGGGGGTAAAGTTAGAGAACACTACTCTAGGGAGACACAGGTAGGAATAACATACTATGTGAAGACATTAGAAGAAATGGTTATTCGTTTTTCTTAAAGTTCTCACTCTGGTGATAGAAATTTCTACAAATTATATCGTCTGTTCTTACTCTGGTTTTTTTCTCTCTTCTATTTGCATCTAAAACCTTATTAGGTATCTCACTATGTATGTATTGAATAGGATGTCAAATCAGAATGCAATTTTTTATGCCCTTGTTTTTTATATATAACTTCTGCTCATGATGTTGCCTATATGCCTTGCTTTGAGAAGTACCAGGATTGGTCTTGTTAAGCTCCCCAGCCCTCAAATGTAAAAGAGAACCACATGGTTTCTCATCTACCTATTCAACCAGAGCCCCCTCCTTTCCACATAAAAGAGAACAACACTAAGAAAACTAGCAGAAAATAACAGTGTCACTTTAGAATAAAAGTCTTCTTAGGATACATGTACAAATACTTGTCTTTGTCTTACTGTTTTATGATAGTTAACACTACTATGAATAGTTCAACTTTGGCTCGTTCATTTTGTCCTTATATTTATCGGTTTCCAGATAATGAGAGCTACAGATTATGTGGTATTTCTAATATTTTTTTCTTCTTTCAGATTAACAGGAAACTTCCAAGATGGAAACTTTGTCTTTCCCCAGATATAATATAGCTGAGATTGTGATTCATATTCGCAATAAGATCTTAACAGGAGCTGATGGTAAAAACCTGACAAAGAATGATCTTTATCCAAATCCAAAGGTAAAAGGTGGTTATGTTTGCATGTGGATAACAGTATTTAAGAAAAAAGTTAGCTACTAGCTCTGTAGTATGGCAAGAAAGTGATATGCCCTCCTATTTGATAGAGACCAGTCATTTTCATCAAGAAGGAATCTCTCACCTAGTGTAATTTAAAAATAAAACTAAATTTATATGTGTGGTGACTTCTACATTCCCATTAGGATTCAATTCTTTAATATGGTCGTTTTCTTAAAAAAAACAAAACAAAACAAAAAAAAACAAAAAAAAACTTCTAAACCATATTAAAGTATATTAAATTTTTTATTATTATTATTGGAATAGTGGTCTGAGAGTATCATTTATTGGTAGGGCTTGAAGGAACTTATTCCAAGTAGTTTTGAACCACAAAAAAATGCTTAGAGATAATCCTCTTTGGAAGCTTACAGATTAATTTTCATGCATTATGCCCCAGGGGAATTGACTTGTTTTGACAGGTATTTTTTTTTATATCTTTAGTTATTAAATATAAAGTGAACTATATATGTGTCACAGAAAATCCCAAAGTCTCCTTCCAGTTTCTTGTGTTGGACTTGAAGTGATAACATTGTAAAACCTGGTTTAATGATGTAGAACTGAAACTTTTCAATCTCACTACCCACTTTTATTCTTTAAAATGGAAGATATACTCTTAGAATAAATGATATCTTCAAACTGAGTAAATTCAGCTTTCTTAAAAGATTAGCACATTTTTCCGATGTTTCTCATATTACTGCTCACCCAGTAAACTTGTATTAATATATGAATTAGAATAGATTCGCAGGCCAGCTTTTGGGAACTGCTGTTTTAGAAGATCAGATTTTTTAAATCCTATATAACCATTTATACCTGCTGATCAAGGGTTCCCTTAAACTTGAAATCTAAGGGAACCTTAATGTCTATGGCAGCAAACAAGGTTTCATGTGTTCTTTAAAACACACACACACACACACACACACACACACACACACACACACACACACAGACATTTTCAGTATGCCATTATTTCTGCCACATGCCTGTCAGCTTGTTCTGAAAGACTAACTCTTCTTCCATTTCCTAAGGTGGATGGGTTGCTTGATTTGGATATACTTGCTCTCATTCTTAAACAGCTGATCCATCCCATTGACCACTTATGAATGAGCAAAGTTAAGCATCATAGGTGTTTTAAAATTTGGAAAAAATAAGGAATATTTCTAGGGAAATGATATAATTTTGTTGCCTTTTTCTCCTTTTCTTTCATTGACTATAATAATGTATGGTAATAATGATAGTGACATAGCTTTAGAGTTATACATCAGAGTATTAAAAGTTATTTTTTGCTGTAGCCTGAAGTGTTGCACATGATCTACATGAGAGCCTTACAAATAGTATATGGAATTCGACTGGAGCATTTTTACATGGTGAGTTTAAGTTGAGGCAAAATTATGGGGATTTTTTTGTCTTTGTCGCAGTTCTGCTTATAATGCATTACTGGCTTTTAGGATAGGAAGTTCTTGAATTTATTTTTAACAAATTCAAAGACATATAAAATTAATGTCACTTACAATGGGATCTTAGTCATAATAATGGTTTATACTGATAGCTTTAGTAAGATGAAAACCATAGTAAAAGACTTAAATGACACAGATTATTGATGCTATGCAGTTGTTAAAGATTTATAGCTTTGTCTTCAGAGACTGTAATAAACAATAGCAGTCTTCATATTGTTCTCTTCTCAGGAAGAACTCCAAAATTAAAGTAGAAGATATGCAGTAAGATTGAAACCATTGAAATGAGGCCACTGAGCTTTTAGCAAATTAGGTGTTTGCAAAGTACTTGATATTTACTAAATGCTAACGTTACTGCATTTTTAAAATTCATTTAAAAATCTTTGTTAAGCACTTACTATGAACCTAGCATTAATAGTAATGAAACTCTGGATTTATACTAGGATATGTATTAAGGTTTTTAATTTAATGATGATAAGTTAATATGTTTTGATCTTAATCTATTGTTATGGTTTCTTATGGTTGAAGATTTTTCTCATTTTGTCTAATCAATGTGTAATATCAATTTCCTGGTTTATTGCATTTAGATGCCAGTGAACTCTGAAGTCATGTATCCACATTTAATGGAAGGCTTCTTACCATTCAGCAATTTAGTTACTCACCTGTGAGTAAAGAGTGATTTTACTATCTTAGTGTACATTCATATTTGTATTACATTAAGCTTTCTTAATGACATGATTTTCTTTGATCAGGAATACCTACTATGTTTCTCTTCATTCCATCCCATATACATTCAAAATTTCAAAATTGTAGACTTCCACCAAACAGAACTGCCTCTAACTGTGGCACTTTCTCAGCATGTTTTTAATTGAAATTCTAAGATACTGTAAGTCTAAAATTGTTTACCATCTTTGTGTAGAGGTTTGAGTTCTTAAAATGTCCTGGTGTCACTAAGATTATGTACTGTTTATTAGAATCTGTAACTATACTTTAATATTACATGACTACATGATTAATATACAGAAAAAATATATTTCAGTGCAGTAGGGTTATATTTTGTAGTAGACTTCTGGCTTTGTCTACTGATCTTGAGAAATATATGCAGAAATCTCTTTTTGAAAGTAAGATGTTTATGTCCTATGGCTTAGTATTTAATGTGCAAAATACTTCAGTAGTCTTTCTGTACCTTATCTTCAAGGGACTCATTTTTGCCTATCTGCCGGGTGCATGACTTTGAGACTGCTGATATTCTATGTCCAAGTAAGTGAGAATTTAAAACAATTTTAATGTCTGGCTTCAATCTACCATTTCATCTTTCAATCAGTAAACGTGAAAAAAAAAAAACTTCAAGGAAATTGGCTTTAGAGAGTATATCCCATTTTTAAGGATGAATTTTTAATATCTTGTTGGATTTTTTTCTTTTTAGGAGCCACAGAAAAGCTGTTTTTCTGTTTTTGCTTTTAAACTCCTTCCATTTAAAAAAATGTTCTATAAATTTGGGAATATGAGTACAAATAATATGCAGATCTGATGTTGCATAGTTGATTCATCATACCAATTTTATCAAATGTAACAATTACTATTTACCATAAAGAAATTATTTTAGCATTAATAAGAATAGTCATGATATTATATTAGAATGTAAAACTCTAGCTTTAATTGTCCCTTAATTTGACTGTGATATTTATCCATCAGGTTATTGTAAGTTAAGAAATTTGGTGTGTGTATTAGGCTATTCTTGCATTGCTATCAAGAAATACCCAAGACTGGGTAATTTATAAAGAAAAGGGGTTTAATTGGCTCACAGTTATGCAGTCTATATAGGAAGCATGATGCTGGCATCTGCCTGCTTCTGGGGAGGCCTCTGGAAGCTTACAGTCATGACAGAAGGCAGAGGGGGAGCAGGCATGTCACATAGCCAGAGCAGACCAAAAGCACATGGGAGAAGCTGTCACACACTTTTAAATGATTGGATCTTGTGAGAACTCACTCACTGTAGAAAGGACAGCACCAATTATACTCTTACTATACAATCCAGCACTCATGCTCCTTGCTATTTGCCCAAATGAATGGAAAACTTATATTCACACAAAAACTTTCACACAGATGTTTAGAGCAACTTTATTCATAATCACCAAAACTTCAAAGTAACCTTGGTGAATGAATAAACTGTAGTATATCTAGAGAAGAGAATATTATTCAACACTACAAAGAAATTAGCTAGGAAGCTATGAGAAGACATAGAGGAACCTTAAATGCATATTACTAAGTGAAAGAAACTAGTCTGCAAAGCCTACACAGCTGTATATCATTCTAGAAAGGGCAATATTGTGGAGACAATGAAAAGATCAGTGGTTTCCAAGGGTTAGGGGTGAGGGAGGGATGAATAGGATCCCTCTAGCACTAAGGATTTTTAGGATAGTAACAATACTCTGTATGCTACTCTAATGGTAGATACATGTCATTATCCATGTGTTAAAACTCAGAACGTACAGTACCAAGAGTGAACTCTAATATAAACTGTGGATTGGGGGTGATAATGATGTGTCAGTGCAAGTTCATCAGTTGTAACAAATATATACCACTCAGGTGAAGGAAGTTGGTGGAGAGGAGTTTGTACATGTGTTGGGATCCAACATATATGGGAACTCTCTACTTCCTGTTCAGATTTACTTTGAATTTAAAACTCCTTTAAAAAAGGAAGTATATTAAAAATTAATTGTATATTTTTATGAGTCTACTTTTGAGCTTGCTATTCTACTCCATTGATCTGTATGTGTATCTTTATGTCAAGCAGTACTTTGATTACTTTAGCTTTATAGTAAGTTTTGAAATCAGTGTTACTCCTCTTTCTTCATCTTTTTCAAGATATTTTGGTTATTCTGGTCCTTTGCATCTCTGTATGTATTTTAGTATTTTTAGCTTATCACTTTTTACCCTTCTTCCTCTGAAAAAGCCATTTTGATTGAGATTACTTTGAATGTGTTATTCATTTTGAGGATACTTGACAATTTAATAATATTGGGTTTTCTGGTCCATATGCATGGTATATCTCTGCATTTATTAAGGCTCTTAAATTTCTCATAATGATGTTCTATAAATTTCGTAGTGTAAGCCTTGTATAATAAATTTTGTTACGTTTATGCCTAAATCAAATTTTTAGTGTTTCTGTAAATTTAATTTAAATTTTCTGGTTAGTCATTGTCAGTGTAGACAAATACAATTGATTTTAATATATTGACCTTGCTAAAATCAATGATTATTTTAGTAGATGTTTTGTCTAGATTCCTTAGGATTTTGACTATTGACAATCATATTATTTGAGAACAAAGTTTTACTTCTTTTCTAATCGAGATGCCTTTTCTTTCTTTCTTTCTTTCTTTTTTTTTTTTTTTTTTTCATTTCTGCACTGGCTAGGACTTCTAATATAATGTTGAATTGAAATGATGAGAGCAGTCATCATTGCCTTTTTCCAGATCTTAGGGGGAAACCATTTAGTCTTTCATTAAGTATTAGTTGTAAGATTTTCTTTAAAAAAATTTTTTTTTTTTTTTGGAGACAGAGTCTCATTCTATTGCCCAGGTGGAGTGCAGTGACATGATCTTGGCTCACTTCAGCCTCAGCCTCCTGGGTTCAAGCAATTCTCCTGCCTCAGCCTCCTAAGTAGCTGGCATTACAGGTGCATGCTCCCACGCCCAGCTAATTTTTGTATTTTTAGTAGAGATGGAGTTTCATCATGTTAGTCAGGCTGGTCTCAAATTTCTGACCTCATGATCCACCCGCCTCAGGCTTCCAAAGTGTTGGAATTACAGATGTGAGCCATCGCACCTAGCCAGATGTTTTTTATTAGAATATACAACTATTACTTTATTTCACTGAGGTTTTTTTTTATCATGAAGGGTATTAAATACCTTTTCTGCCTCTATTGAGATAATCATGACTTTTCTCTTTTAATCTGGCAAATTACATTGTTTGATTTTTGAATATCAAGACAACCTTGCATTCAGGATATGCCATTTGGTTAATGATATATTTTTAATATATTGCTACATTTGATTTGCTAATATTTTATTAAGTTTTTTTGTCTCTGTTCCAGCAGCTTAGATGGGAGAATCCCTTGAGTTTAGGAGTTCGAGGCTACAGTGAGCTATGATTGTGCCACTGCACCCCAGCCTGAGCAACAGAGCGAGACCCACATCTTTTTGAGAAAGAAAAATAGATAAATAAAGATATTTTTCTTGAGCACTCAGTGGATACGAAGAGTCAACTTTTCAATCCACAGTCAGTTGAATCTACTGATACAAAATGCACAGATATGGAGGGTCAACTATACTATGCTTTTTTTTTTTCTTTTTTTTTTTTTTTTTCAGACAGAATCTCACTCAGTCACCAGGCTGGAATGCAGTGGCACAATCTTGGCTTACTGCAACCTCCACCTCCTGAGTTCAAGCAATTCTCCTACCTCAGCCTCCTGAGTAACTGGGATGACAGGTGTGTGCCACCACACCAAGCTAATTTTTGTATTTTTAGTAGAGAAGGGGTTTCACTATATTGGCTAGGATGGTTTCAACCCCTTGACCTTGTGGTCCACCCACCTTGGCCTTCCAAACTACTGGGATTATAGGCATGAGCCACTATGCCTTTTTATGTAAGAGACTGATGCATCCATAGACTTGGGTTCTCTAGGCATCCTGGAACCAATGTCCAACAGATACTGAGGGACTACACTATAGAATTCTTATCTGACAATTTTCAGTACTTTAAAGATACTGCTCCATTGTCTTCTGGATTGCATTGCTTCTGATGAGAAGTCTATTGCTTTGCTTTTCTTTGTTTCTCTCTACACAATGTGTTTTGTTTTCTTCTATGGCTGCTTGTAAGATTTTTTTTTTTTCTTATAGCTATTCGCAGTTTTAGTATAATGTGACTTTTGGGTGTTTTTTGTTTTTTTGTCTGTTTTTCTCTTCTTTCTTTCCTCCCCCTCCGCCCTTGCACCCCATTTAGATATGTTCACTTCTTTGGATTTGGTTATTGTTTTTATAAAATATGAAAAATATTCAACTATTCTCTAATAGTTTTTTGTCCCTTCTTTTTGTAGGATTCCAATTACACGTTAGTTTTGCTGCTTGATATCGTCTCCCAGCTCACAGATACTGTATTCATTTTTTTCTCTCTGGCCTTTATTTAAGTAACTTCTATTATGTCTTCAATTTCATGAATCCTTTTATTTTAGGTCTAATATACTGTTATTCCCATCAGTGTAATTTTTATTTCAGGTATTTTTCAACTCTAAAAGTTTAATTCAGATCTTTTTTTTTTTTTTGAGCTGGAGTTTCGCTCTTGTTACCCAGGCTGGAGTGCAATGGCGCGATCTCTGCTCTCCGCAACCTCTGCCTCCTGGGTTCAGGCAATTCTCCTGCCTCAGCCTCCTGAGTAGCTGGGATTACAGGCATGCGCCACCATGCCCAGCTAATTTTTTTTTTTTTTTTTTGTATTTTTAGTAGAGACAGGATTTCACCATGTTGACCAGGATGGTCTCGATCTCTTGACCTCGTGATCCACCTGCCTTGGCCTCCCAAAGTGCTGGGATTACAGGCTTGAACCACCGCGCCTGGCCAGATCTTTTTTAAAAAAATCTTTTATTTCTTCATAGTGCTGATTCTTTGCTCTCTTTATATAATTATAAAGGCTGTTTTTGTATTCTTATCTACTAAATCTATTATCTATGTTATTTGTGTTATTTTTTAATATGTTTCTGTTGATTGATTTTATTTTCTTATTATGGGTCATGTAATACTTTTTCTTTGCATGTCTGGTCATTTTTAGCAGATGGCAGACATTGTGAATTTTACATTTTTGGTTGCTGGATTTTTTTTTTTATTCCTTCATATATTTTGGGTTGTTTTCCTGGCCTTAGTAGTTTCTAGATATTCATGAACTCATTAGTACTCAACTGAAAACTTGAGAGGATTCCTCTACAGATTTCCAGAACTCTTTCTCTTTGTAGCTTCCTACTTTCTGTACTCAATTCCACAAATCCTAGTTGCTTTGCTTCTGCAAACTCTAAACTCTATCTTCTTCACTCAGCAAGACATGCAAGTTTTGTTTGTGTTTTTTTTCTCTGGAGTACAGCCTGAAAACTCTTCAGTTATGGGCTGGTGCGTTAATAGTGTTCATCTCATTTGTTTCTCTTTGAGATTGCTGTACTATATTGCCTGTTGTCCAGCATCTAAAATTTTTGTTACTTCATGAATTTTTGTTTTTCTAGTTTTTTAATATGAGAGGGTAATTCTGGTTTCTGTTATTCCTACATGACCAAAAGTGGTTTGCCTTTTTTTTTAAGTTACTAATACAAAGATAATTCTTACCTTTAAGTTAGAGCATATTTTCTGCACTTCGTTATATCCTATAGAGTCACATATTATGAGCAGAGTATATGGTGAAAGAGGATGAATTTTCATTTTCATATTATGTTGGGTCAAAGATTTTTTTAAAGAGTCTTATTTTCTATTTTAGAAGCAAAACGGACAAGTCGGTTTTTAAGTGGCATTATCAACTTTATTCACTTCAGAGAAGCATGCCGTGAGACGTATATGGAATTTCTTTGGCAATATGTAAGATTTAAATATGTTCTTAGATTACATGCCAGATCAGTAACATTATTTATGAAATTTTAATCTGTTTTGAAATGATTCACAGATAGCAAATTGTTGTATTGCCTTTAGAATTGAATTTATTTGCCGGGCGCGGTGGCTCAAGCCTGTAATCCCAGCACTTTGGGAGGCCGAGGCGGGTGGATCACAAGGTCAAGAGATCGAGACCATCCTGGTCAACATGGTGAAACCCCATCTCTACTAAAAAATACAAAAAAAATTAGCTGGGCATGGTGGTGCGTGCCTATAATCCCAGCTACTCAGGAGGCTGAGGCAGGAGAATTGCCTGAACCCAGGAGGCGGAGGTTGAGGTGAGCCGAGATCGTGCCATTGCACTCCAGCCTGGGTAACAAGAGCGAAACTCCGTCTCAAAAAAAAAAAAAAAAAAGAATTGAATTTATTTTTATATTTATATAAACTTGAAGATTTTAGTTACTGGAAAGCATATCTCAGAGTGGGATTTTCTTTGAAATTTGGTAACATTATTGAGAGGCTGAGTTTTGTTAGTTTAAAAATTTTATAGCAGAGGCTTGTTTTCCTCTATTAGGAATTGTTAGAGAAGAGAATATTGATATGTTTACACTTTTTTCTTTGCAGTTTGCATAGATAGTGTAGCTTTTATTACATACTTGAGGTTTATATTTGCCTTTTAAATAATGGCCTAATTGGACTGCTTGTCATGGTGTTCATCATGCTTGCCCAGTATTGAATTATAAGATTCCATCCAAGGCAGTCACTTTAACAGATAGAAATTCATTTTCCTTCTATCAACAATTTAGAGAATTTGGGAAGATTATGGGTCATCTGTGTGATTTTTCCCATTTGTCTTTAGTAATGGGGTACCATACTCTTAGAAGAGCACCAGAGTAACTCCAATTAGACCCTAGGCTCCAGCTTCATTGAGCTATATAGATCAATACTACTTTGAACAAATCGTGCTAAACTTATACCTTCTAAACATCATATAATCTTCAAAGGTTACCACATTCATGTGCTGACATACACACACCCTCATAACTTTGCTTGGTTAATTACTCCACTATCTTTAAGACACAGCTCAGACATGTATCACCTCTACGAAGCCCCATCACCCTTCTTCCCAGCCATTACCCAAGATGTCACTCTTGTTTGTTCCCATTATATTAAAAATAACAAGCTATTTTGTGGGTTTTTATTCATGTATCTGACTCTTCAAGGAGACAGCTACTTAAGTTCAAGACCTGTAAGCTAGTCTTCTTGAGAATTCTCAGTACCGAGCTCAGGGCCTATGATGAGAACTCAACATTTGTGTTCAGTAAAGAAGTTCCTAATTCATTTGTCATAAAGGCCTAACTGTATCTTAAATTTCTTATTTCTGATGGTTAAAACTATAGTGTGAGTAAACATTTTGGACACACTGATTTTGTTGAAATGCACTAATATGAGATGATTAAAATTGCTTTAATAGAAATCCTCTGCGGACAAAATGCAACAGTTAAACGCTGCACACCAGGAGGCATTAATGAAACTGGAGAGACTGGAGTAAGTGGGAGATTTACAAGTAAGATAAATGCAATTTCACGATGCAAAATGAATTGTAAGTAGTATTGCAACCCTATAGTTCACCTGTAGTCTCTGTTATCTTCCATAATAAATAGCAGACTATTTGAGTTTGCCTTTTCTGAAAAAAAAAAGAAAAAGAAAAACTAGTTTTTCTTCTGTTAACTATGTAATATATTCTTTAGCTTTTTTTGTTTTTGTTAATGTGTTAGCCTGACTTGTTTAAAGTCATTAGCTCTCTCACCTAATTTATATCTAGAATATTGTCTTACGTAGGTGAGCAATAACTGAACTGTCTTCCTTCAGATCAGTTGATTCCATCAAATGTTTACTTCTACAACAGAGTTTTTTGTTTATTTGTGTTGTGTTTGACTTATAGGTAATGTATGGGAAAGAATCACTTGAAAGTTGTGATTTCTTGGCCTTCCTTATATATACTGATTTTGAGCAGGATTTTTTAAATGTCTTCTAATTTGTAGATGTCTTTGAGGTTATCTATTTCAGGTGAGAGATTTTTCTAACCTGCCCCTGGTTAACATTGCCTTTACAGGCAGCAGTAAGCTGAAAAGACTGGGGACAGGCAGACATTAGACTACAAAAGGGTAAAAGATACCACAAACTCAATCAAAAGAAGAATGACAAGGTGGAGAGAATATTTTCAGTACATGCCACAAAGCAAATATTACAACTGTGATAAATTCGAGTTGTAATATTTCTAATATACAAAGCAGCCCTACAAACTGATAGGAAAAGGATTACTTTAAAAAAAGAGACAAAGGCCATAAACAGGGAGTTTATATAAAAACAGCTAATATATCAGATAGGTAAAACTATTTGAAAACATTCATATAGAAGAGACTTGAACATGTGTAAGTGTTGTAAGGAAGGACTAGTGGCAGAAGAATGGATGATATGAGAGTAAGAGATATGAGGTGATGATAGGCAGTGTAGAGGTAGGGAAGTCAGCATTATTACCAGAGGAATACTATATTCATTTTATTAGGAGTAAAGTTAGAAAAAGTAGGTATGTATGTGGATGGATCCATAGATTTTATGATATAAAACTGAAGGAGCTCATTTGATTTTTATTTTCGCCCTGTAGTAGAGACCAGGTCATTCAGTTTAAATGGTTGCCACATGAAAGGGTGTAATTCAGAAACATAAAAGTAAACAATTTCCTCATCTAAGTTATTTGAGGACAGGTATTTCATTTTAGCCTTTCAAAAGTGAAAAATTCAATAAACAATATTTTAATCTATTTTTCTATCTTAAGTTCTGTTCCAGTTGAAGAGCAAGAAGAGTTCAAGCAACTTTCAGATGATATTCAGGAGCTGCAGCAATCACTAAATCAGGATTTTCATCAAAAAACGGTATCTGTTGTGAGGCACTTTAAAATTAAAAAAATAAAATTTGTTTGTAGATGTAGTGGGACATATAGTGGAGGTAACAGAACACTGCATTCTCTATTACTAAAGAAAAAGAATATATTTCTGTGCCCATTTGTACCCCTTATAATGGATACATACTTCTCTCAACCATCTAGAACCATGATAGTTTTTGTTGCCAAAGTTTTTTGTTATCTTATTGAATAGAATTTTTTAGGGTTCTTCTAGGTCTAATTTCACTGCTTCCAAACCATGTGTTGTGGCACCCTTGATACTGCAGTAAACCCTGAAGAATGCCTCCAAATAACTTAAATTTTCAAGAGAAACACAGTGATAGTCAGCATCTGTCATATCCTTCTTGAATTCAAGGTAGTTCAGTTTCAGTATTTGGCCACATTTTTTTCATACCCTGGTGAAGCTCGGTTTTGGCATTTGCTGTGATAAAAGCAAGTGCAATGTAAAAATCATTGTAGCACAGTAAATGAGAATATCTATATCCAATCTGAAATATACACTCCAAGGTACATGAATTTATGCAGTGCCCAATAGGCACATACATCTAATTAAGAACTTGAGGTTATTTAAGAACAAAATAAAAATTTTTTCTTCCAACTTATATATGTATTATTTTTCAAAGGGCTACAACGTTAGGACATAAATACTTATGCCATTATTTGGACTTAACTACTTAGTAAAGGAAGTCTTAGATTTTTCTTTTGGCTTAGGAGCATCATGAACAGAGAAAGTTTGAGGAATATGTGATCTAACACATTTGACTCCTTTCTTACCTTAATTTTATGAGACAACAGTGAGTGGATAAATCTAAATGTTTTGAATCATTATAAAACATTTGTTTGCTTTTTCCCTTAGATAGTGCTGCAAGAGGGAAATTCCCAAAAGAAGTCAAATATTTCCGAGAAAACCAAGCGTTTGGTAAACATCTTTTCTTTTCACTAGCGTTTAGAGTTTGAATATATATTGTGTGGAGGAATATTTTAGCTGTGTGTGTTATTGTAGTCAAATGTTTCTCCCTTTTTCCCCTGAAAATGAAACTAAGTCTTTTTCAACTTAAATATAATAGCTGACTATTGTTTTATAAAATATCAAAACACAGAAATGTATGAAGAAAGTAAAAATCACCTGAAAGCTCACTATACAATCTGTTATATGTCAAAGATTGTATTTCCCATGCAAATGTAAATATACATGTGTAATTTTACATAAATGATATTATGCTCAGTACGTCTTACCTGCTTTTTTCCTCACTTAGCAATATAGTACAGTTATGAGTTTTAAATAGATCCACATTATATTAATGCTTGCATCTAGTTGTGCATTATATGTATATGCTATCATAGATCCTTTTAATCCCCTATTGATAGACGTTTACATTGTTTCTAATTTTTTGCTATTGAACAAATATATGTATATGTGTATTATATGCTTACATATGTACATACATATATCTGCAACAGGCTACTTTTATTTAAAATAAATTTCTTTGTTTAGGATTTCTGGGTCATAGGAAATATACATGTAAAATTGACCAATGCAGCCAAACTGATTTCTAGAAAGATACAATTTATATTCCTACCATTAGAACATGAGACTGTCCCTTTTTCTACACCCTTGCCAGAATTGGATATTTTCAGGTTTTTAAAATCTTTGTTATTTTTATATTGAAAAAAAATCTTGTTTTAATTTAATTCTTTTAATTCTAGTGATTTTAGCCATCTTGCTCAGTGATTTCTTGTATTTCTTATTTTGTAAATTACTCATTTGTGTACCTTGCTTATTTATTTATTTAATATTTTTGAAACACAGTCTCGCTCTTTTGCCCAGGTTAGATTGCAGTGGCTCGATCTCAGCTCACTGTAACCTCCACCTCCTGAGTTTAAATGATTCTCTTGCCTTAGACTCCAGAGTAGCTGGGATTACAGGCGGCCACCACCACGCCCAGCTAATTTTTTTGTATTTTTACTAGAAGTGGGGTTTCACCATGTTGTCCAGGCTGGTTTTGAACTTCTGACTTCAATTGATCCACCCTCGGCCTCCCAAAGTGCTAGGATTACAGGCGTGAACCACAGTGCCTAGCCACTTATTTATTTTTTAAGAAACTCCATGAATTAGGGATTTTAATTTTCTTTTTCTTTTTCTTTCAAATTTATAATTTTTTTTACCATTAAAAGTTTTATGTTTTTATGTAGTAAAATTTGTAGATATGGCCTTTATGGTTTTTGGCTTTAATTCTGTATATAGAAAGGCCTGCCCCATTCATCAGATTATTTTTTAATACTATATTTTCTCATTGTATGTTTATAGTTTTCTTATTATTTTAACATGCATACTTTAGATCCTTGAGAAACTTACTTTGGTATTATATTTTTCTTATTTTTCTACCATTTTTTTTTAATTGGCAAATGCTTTCATCTGAGTAGTACTTACTATGGCTCAATTTTATTATTTACTTCTTTCTGTCCCATTTAAATCCAAGTTAAAATAAGCACTTTGTACTTAATCAAGTTTAGACCTCTTATAAAGGGAGAAAAGTGATGAAAGTTAACAGTATTGTAAGGCAAATAACCTCTAATCTTGTAGAGCATTAAAAGGGAATAGTGTGGTGGTTTGCAGAACTCTAAGAATAAAATAACAAAATATACAGAAATTTTAGGAATGTACTAATAGCTAACATTCATTTTTGGCCTCTGAGTTAGCTGATCAAAAAGTAAGAATCTTTTTTCTTTTTCAAGTTAAAAATATTTAGGCAAATTACACAAACCATACAGTAATACATTCCTGTTATGAAATAGTCTCTCTTTACATAGACATATACATACATATATATGTATATAGAGAGAGGGGAGTATGCATATATACATATATATATGGAGAGAGAGAGAAGGGTATATAATGAGAGAGAGAAGAAAGGTCTTCTCTCTGCCCATTTAACCTTGAGGTAATACTATGCCCTTTTTCATGACATTGTATGCATACACATACAGATGCACATAATCATGTGTCACTGTTTTGTTGTTTGGTTTTTATAGAAATGTATTTGTGTTATATGTTGATCTGTAAATTTGTTCTTTCACTTAATATTTCTGGAAAATCTTTCTTGTCAGTACATAGAGTCATAGAGGGTCCAAAAACAATGTAAATACAACTTACCAAAAAATATCTGGGAAGAAAATTCAGAGAAATTTTTTTTGACATAGTTTCAGACTTACAACAAATTTTCAAGAGGATTTCCAGTTATCCTTCACTTTGATTCTTTGAATAGTTACATTCAATTTTGAAATTCAGGAGAAGGGAATTGTTTTGATTCAGCAAGCATGTATTCCGCACCTTCTCAGTGCTGTAACTTCATTTGGGTACTGGGAGAACCAAAATAACTTTTCATAACTCCAGTTTCTCAATTTTGAAAGACATGTTAAATATATAATTATAGAGTTGCATGTACAATAATTGTACTATTTAAAGAAGAAATGTAGGGAAAATGAGAGCAGGATTTTGAGGGATCAATACAAAGTTAGCAGGCAGACAGGAGCGGAATGATGATATTCTAGAAGGACCCTACTGGTCAAAGAAAATTCACTTATATTTGTCTAAACATAAGATTAGTATTACCAGATTATAGGGTGTAGTACAGAACTGGTGGGAGATGCAAGGAGACAGGAAGAGAGTAAGAGCCGTGTAATGAAAGGCTTTGACTGTATTGTTAAGGAGTTTGATCTTTGGCCTGTAGACAAATGTGAGCAATGAAGTAGGTAAGTGATGTGTTCAGAATTTAATTTTACTCCCATTACAGAGAACATGGACCTAATTTATTTGTTCTTTTCCATTAGAAGAATGGCAAATTGCCAAGTTTATTCTTATATCTAATATATAAAAATTTTTTCTCAACAGAATGAACTAAAATTGTCAGTTGTTTCTTTGAAAGAAATACAAGAGAATTTGAAAACAAAAATTGTGGATTCTCCAGAGAAGCTAAAGAATTATAAAGAAAAAATGAAAGATACAGTCCAGAAGCTTAAAAATGCCAGGGTGAATTTTCTTTTTATGTTAATGCTTTTGTATCTTTTTAAAAACAAAATTTTAACAAGTTTTTGTTTATTGGTTAATTTTTGGATTTCTGAGTTATCTATACTTCTCTTCCTCTTAAACTTTTTTGACATTTGTAATCTGTAGCTTTTCTCTAGAGTGGATATGGGGAAAATACATTGAATTTCAAGACATTTGTTCAATTATACAACAGTTTTTTGAGCCTTTGCTCTGGGAGATTAAAACAGAAATGCTGTTTTCTTGTGAGACTTAATTACTTTGTTACAAGGGAGAAAAGTATTAAATAATTTTACAAACAATTATAAATTACAATATATAACAAAATATAAGATATACATGTGTGCAGATGGGGGATATGAGAAATCTCTGTACCTTCTGATTAATTTTGCTGTGAATGTCAAACTGATGGAAAAATTAAAATCTATTAATAATATCAGAAAGAGAGGAAAGTATAGAGTGCTTTGAAATAATATAATAAGGGGAGCCCAGTTTAGTCTTGGACTGGAAGTACAGGTGGAAGAGGGACGGAAGACTGCTACCATTCTTCAGATGGTAGCATTAAAAAAAAAGACACTTCTTTTTGAACATAGCAGTACCATGGCCCAATTCATTGTATATGAAAGAACATTCAGGGCAGAGGAAACAGCATATGTGAATTCTGTGGGGCAGTAGGCAGTAAGGTATGTTCAAGATTATGGGTTGCTATAGGAGATGGATTGGTGTGGTGCAAAACAAATTTAGAAGTAGATAGACAATTTAGCATCTTTTGTGAAGCAAGGTTTTGAAACTACTAATTTTAAAAACATTTGTGGTTTAGCTTTGAATTTGTTATCTAATTCATTCTTGAATGTTAAGATTTTATCACACAAAAATCGACAAAGATCACCAGAACAGAAATGAGAACCCAGAAATAGGTTTGAGTGTTAATGAGAAAAGGAAGATTTATTTAAGAAACAGTTCTGGCTCAATTAGCTATTCTTCTAGAAGAAAAGGGAGCTGGGCCTACACTTTGCTCTTCTATAAAAATAAATTTTATATGGATTAAAAATTTACATTAAAAATTTTAAGTTTTACAGATTTTAGGAGAACATTTATATAATCTTGGACTGGAATAGATTTTTAAAATTAAGATTAGAAACAAAATCTATACAGAAAAGTAGACATATTAGAACACAATTACAGTACATATGCAAGGTAGAGGCATTATATCCATGATTTGCAAAGAGTATTTACAAATTAGTAAGAAAAAGGTAAAAAATAAGGTAGAACAAGGGGTAGGCTAGTGGGGATACGGGAAGGAGTCTTTGTATTGTTACCATAGTTGTGGTAAATATTCATTTTGCAATTTTAGAAGAGGAGTTAATCTTTTTAAAAGAACTAGCTGTAGTAGTGGTAGTTATTTTACAAATGAATAGGAAGATTATAAACAAGTAATATGATTGATTGCCCAGGAGTAATCAGAAATAGTTTGAGTATTAGCAAAATATTTTAATATCATCATGAATAACCTTTGGAAGGTATTTCAGTGAGTAATTTAGTAAAATTGTGGCAGTTTTCCTTTGTTTGAAGATACTTGGCAATTAAAAAACAATTATTTGTGTTTAAACACATGTCAGTAGTAGTGCTGTATTATTGACCTAGAAATTTAATTGTTCCCTGCTTTTAATGTTTCAGTATTAAATGCAGAAATTATTTAAGAGCAAACAAATTGATATTACTGCAGCTTCATAAAGAAGAATGTCAAACTATTGTCTTTGTTTTTTGTCTTTCAAAGCAAGAAGTGGTAGAGAAATATGAACTCTATGGAGACTCAGTTGACTGCCTGCCTTCATGTCAGTTGGAAGTGCAGTTATATCGAAAGAAAATACAGGACCTGTCAGATAATAGGGAAAAATTAGCCAGTATCTTAAAGGAGGTTTGTATTATGTGGAATTTTTATGTCTTCATTATATAACAGCTTACTACAGTTCCTTGGATTTTGCTTTCACTTTTTGTTACTGTTTTCCTAAAGAATGGCAGGGTCATTCTACACTATAATAGATGTGGCAGTGTATGCCACGAAAAAGACATTTTTCTTTTTAAAAACAGCAGTTACAAGACCCAATTTTTAACCTTCAGATGAAATTAATAATAACTAACTTAGCACATTGCCATGTGCATTTTGGAAAATAGTACAGTAACTCCTCCTTATCCTCAGGGGATTCATTTCAAGACCCACAGGGGATGCCTAAAACTATGGATAGTAACAAACCCTATATATATGTTTTTTCTTATACATATATACCTATAATAAAATTTAATTTAAAACTTAGGCACAGTAAGAGGTTATCAATAATTACTAATGAAAGAACACTTATAGCAATATAGTGTAATAAAAGTTATGTGAATGTGGTCTCTCAAAATGTCTTATTGTGCTATACTCACTCTTCTTCCTGTGATGATATGAGATGATAAAATGCCTGCATAAAAAATTGAAGTGAGATATTGTTAGGCTACAGTTAATCTTCTGACCATACATCAGAGTAAGGATCATCTGCTTCAGGTGATCCTAGATCCTCAAGGCACCCTGATGTCGACAGTTGGATGTTGATGGCTAAAGAGCAAGTAGTGTATGTGCATGAATGTGCTGGGCAAAGTGAGAGTCACTTCCTTGGTCAGAGCTGGTCATCGTGACTCAAGTCTGTAATCCCAACAGTTTGGGAGGTTGAGGCATGAGAACCATTGAGGCCAAGAGTTGGAGACCACCTTGAGCAACATAGCAAGATGCTATCTCTACAAAATATTTAAAAAGCCAGCTATGATGGTGCATGTCTGTAGTCCCAGTCACTTGGGAGTTTGAGGTTTGAGGATCACTTAAACTCAGGGAATCAAGACTGCAGTGAGCTATGATCACTCCACTGCACTCCAGTCTGGGTGACAGAGTGAGGCTCCATCTCAAAAGCGCCCGTGCACGCGCGCGCACACACACACACAGACACACACACACACACACCCTTAGAGTAGGATGGAGTATGATGGTGCAAGATTTAATCACACTACTCAGAACAGCACACAGTTTAAAACTGATGAATTGTTTATTTCTGATACTTTACGTTTAGTATTTTTGGACCACAGTTGACCACGGGTAACTATGACCATGGAAAATGAAGCCATGGATAAGGGGAACTACTGACATGGGATTTTAAATTTGCTCTTCCAGTTGGAAATGATATTAACATCAGAAAATTCCAACTTAGTGTCCAACACTGAATATAGGACTTACAGAGAAATTTAAAGTTTACGACATAGTCTTCTACCCTCAAGAAATGAGAGCTAATGGCAGATTCACAGGCTACAAGGTTCAAAATCCTTTTTCACTTCTTTACTTGCTCATCCTCATCCAGCCTGCGCCTCCAGGATCACTAACATTACATTTGTTAAACAATTTCTTTTTTGAGATAAGTAGGAATGAGAAGGTGAGATTGCCCCAGGCATTCTTTCCTAACTACACAGTCCCCTCATCTGCCGTCCGGTCACCCAAAAATGATTACTGCTTTGAATTGCTTCTAGCACCTACCCTTTTCCCTTTATTTTTACTACTTTAGTTCCGATCCTAAGCCCCTCAACTGTAGTATCCTAGCTAATCTTAGTTCAGATCCTAAGCCTCTCAACTCTAGTCTCTTGGCTAATCTTTGTATGTCTCCCTTTCAGTCTGTGCTGATACAATAACATGGTGAAAACACCTCTCTAGTTGTCATGTCCTTTCTCAGCATCTCCAGTGCCTCCCTGTTGTCTCTTTTGGCTCATCTGCATTTTTCTGCTGGGTTTTCAGACTTTAAAGAGTTTTATCTCTTTTTTAAATTGTGTTTAATTATAGTTCATCCTAGAAAATACTCTCTCTTTGTATTTATAAATCCTAATTGGTTATGTTGGACTTTTAATACTTCTTATAAAACACAGAGCCTGAACTTGGAGGACCAAATTGAGAGTGGTGAGTCCGAACTGAAGAAATTGAAGACTGAAGAAAATTCATTCAAAAGACTGATGATTGTGAAGAAGGAAAAACTCGCCACAGTACAGTTCAAAATAAATAAGAAGCACGAAGATGTTAAGCAATACAAACGCACAGTAATTGAGTATGAAGTTGTTTTCAATTTTAGTGTATTAAAAAGCAATTATGAAAAGCAAATACATTCCTCCTCAACCCCCAGGATTTCAAAACTTCTGTATTTTCAAAGAGTTTAAACAGTTTTATCTTTATTTCACCTTTAGTTGACTAAAACGGATGAGTTAATTATGAAGCTTATACTTCCAGGTTAGATTTTGAGGTATCTTAACTATTTTTTTTTCCTACATACACATTTCCAATTCCTTTGCATCGTTCTTCAGAATGATTCTGATGCTGCTAATTATTTCAGTGCACTTTAGAGATAGTGGTCTAGACTTGCATCAGAATGAACTAACTGGCCTGTCTTATAGTCCAGCTGGTCTGTAAAGTTACAGCATTTGTGTTTTGACAAAAAGTCTTATATTTAGGTAAGATGTAATACTTTACTAAGTATGTAAGTATGTTTTTAGCTGGTATGTTGGGGAACTTTATGGGTAAAGTACCCATCTGTTCTAAGAATATGTTTTCAAAATATCTGCCCCAGATATGTCTGATGTCAATCCTTCAGTTCCTAAAAGGTACGTTAGAGATTATCTGAGTATTTCCTTCAAACTTCATCATGGAGATGAAAAAGGACAGAACCTGAGGGTTTTGTGTTTGTTGCCAAACTGCCTTGTAGAAAAGTTAAACTGATTCACATTCCCACCAACAGTACCTAAGTGTGTACAACTGGAGAAATGTAACTTAAAAATCTTCATTTAAAAAATTTGTTTATTTACTCATTCACTAACCCACCAATGAGATAAAAAGTCTAATATTAGGAGAAAGAGTTCACTCTATGTTATGATGTGATTATATCACCATACTTTGAGGTTTTCGTGCATTTGCTTTTACATCTTGAGAAGAGTTTTAGGTTTGTCAAATACTGACACATGGTCACTTTGGAATCAAAACTAGAATTGTGTTTGCCTTTTTAATTGCTAAAGAGGATTAAATATTAGCTGTCTCTATTTTCTTTTAGGGATTGCAATAAAGTTCAAGAAAAAAGAGGTGCTGTCTATAAGCAAGTAACCACAATTAATCAAGAAATCCAGAAATACAAATTTGAAATTCAGCAACTAAAAGATGCTACTGAAAGGGAGAAACTGAAGTTCCAGGTGAATATGTGTTCATAAAAAGTTAATTTCAGATTATCTCATATGAATTTGAGTTGTTAACCAAAACAAAACAGCTTATGTAGTCTCTGTGTGTAATGAGACTTTTAATCATACCTAAAATGTTTTACTCTTTATTTTTGTTTTGAATATATCTGCATAAAGCTTCATAAATAGTCCTAAGTTTAATGAGACCAGGCATCTTGTCTCCTACATTTTTATCTTTATAAATGCTAGTACAATGCTAAACATAAAATGTTTACCTGTTTCTATCCTTTTAACTGCCAATGTCTCTAATAAGTAGTCTATTCCTGATATATTAATTACATATTTATTCTCTCCTTAACTTTTGAAGTTTGATTTATATCTTCAAGAGTGTTCTACCAGAACAATTGTTCAAACTGCTCTGTCAGAAATTACCAAAAAAAAATCACTTTTTATTATGCAAATTCCCTTAGCCTCTTTTCTCTTCATTCTTCATCTTGTCTACATTGACTCCTTAGACAGAGGTTTCCAAAACCTCTAATACTTGATAAATATTTAAACATTTGCTGTCATTACTTTCTGCCATTCACACCCAATTTGTAAAAATTCTTAAAAGAGCCATAATAGACAATTCCCTTATCTATTTTCAGTACCTTATCCCCCTGAAAGATTATGTTGTTAAAACTTGCACATGTGAGCATTATCTCAAGGCTACTTTAAAAAGGAAGGAAAAAAAAGGAATGGAGCAAGGAAAGGAAGAAGGAAACAGAAAGTAAAAGAAAATAAAATGGTTGGGATTTCCTTTCCATGGTCTTCCCAATACACTGGCCTGTTTTTCTTCCGTTTGTTTTTTTTTCCCCCATACTTCAACTACTTCTCTTTTTCTGCCTCTTAACTGGATATTCACCAAGATTCAGTCTCTCTGGCTTGGTGATTAGAAAGACTTAGCAGATATTTAATTCTGCTTTTTTTGTGTGTGTGTGACAGAGTTTTGCTCTTGTGGCCAGGCTGGAGTGCAGTGGTGTGATCTCGGCTCACTGCAACCTCCACCTCCAGGGTTTAAGCAGTTCTCCTGCCTCAGTCTCCCAAGTAGCTGGGATTACAGGCATGCATCACCATGCCCAACTAACTTTTTTTAAAATATATTTTTAGTAGAGAAGGGGTTTCTCCATGTTGGTCAGGCTAGTCTCAAACTCCTGACCTTGTGATCCGCCTGCCTTGGCCTCCCAAAGTGCTGGGATTATAGGAGTGAGCCACCATGCCCAGCCTAATTCTGCTTCTTAACCAAATCAAATAAAAAAATATTTATGTGTTATCACATGGTCTAGGAACATTTAGTGAACCAGTTACTAACAAATTAGTAACCAGTTACTAACTCAAATTCAAGGTACCTTTGTCAATCAGTGATAAGAGATACCCATGCCATCTTATATTACTTTGAGTTTTGTGCAGGTATGTCTTGCCAATTACATTTTCCATTTCTTGACAGTAGTAATTGTGTATTGTTAACCTGAGCATATCATGTCAAACCATGCCTAGAAAGGCTTTATGTATAGTATGCTTTCTATGAATATTTATAAAATTGAAAGGTCATCTAGCATAGTGTTTATTAAAACTAGCTTGTATATTAGAATTCAGTGAGGAATTTTAAAGTGAACAAATCCTCACCCAAACACACTGATAAGAAACTCCAGCAATGGGGCCCATGCTTTTTTAATATGGCATTTGAGAACCACTGATAGGTTTTGCTTAATCCTTTTCAGTGGTGTAGTGCTCGTGGCTACTCAAGCTCTTCTGCTAGGGCAATTTTAATTGTTAAAATTCTGTCTCTTATTTTGGGTTTAAAATATTTATTTCTGTACTCTATAGTCAGCCTGGATCTTCTCTCTGGAGCAAATGTGTACCCTTTTCTGCTTACTAATCCTTCAGATATTTGAGGATAATGATCACGATTTCTTTCAGCCTTCTAATATTCAGGATAATTAGTACCAGATTTCCACCATTCTTCATATAGCTTCATTTTCATATTTATTACTGTCTTGTTTACTGTCACCTCTGTTTCCTACCTGTCATTATTCATAAGATTTAGAACCCAGTGTTAAACACAGTCTTCCAAAATAATCGTGTAACCAGCCAGACACAAAGCACATTTTTAATGAAGCATAATATTGGGTTAGATTTTTAGCAGCAGCATCTTGCCCTTGACTCATATTGACCTTGTGATCAATGAAAGGACTGCTGTCTTTTCCACATACAGTTCTCCCATGTTAACAGTCGCGCTAACCATACTTTAGCGCAACTGTTACTTTTAATTCAGAATTTTACTATTTTAGGTTTTATTTATTTCAACCTAGATTTCAAAAATGTCAAGGTCAGTTTAAATCTATCAATCAGTCTTCCACCTTTATTTCTCATTGCTTAGTGTCACCTGCAGATTTGATCAGCATGTCTTTTTCTTCAAAATAAAAATGTTTACTAGAACAAAGCCCTTTGCTGCGTTGTAATTTTTTCCTCAGAGAGGCATAGAACTGTTGATCAAAACTTTGGGTACAATTGTTCAACTTGTGAAGTTGTTCTTACCTACCTTGATTCAGGCTACATTGTGATAATCCATTTGTTACACAAATGGAAAGGTCTCTGGATACTTTGGTAAAATCAAATACTTATTGTTAAAGAACTCTCCTTAGCTTACTTCATAATCATCCTTCATGAAAAGAAAAGTAGGATATGTTATGATTGCCGAATTGTTCTTTGTGTAGTTCTTTTGCATTTTGTGATCGTCATAGTTTTTTTTTCATTAAATGTTCTTTTCCATAGATAATTTATCTCTTGTAGTTTCAATTATTATCTTCATTTGTATAGCTTTCAAAAATCTATGTTTCTTGTTCTGGCCACTCACAACAAAAATAATATTTTTAAATTATATTCAACATTTTCCCACATCTGACCTCTTCTTCACTTTCTCTGTCTTTCCCTTTTCTTTTTCTCTCTTTTGCTCAACTTCTTCATAAATTTCTTTATATTTCTCAATGGCATCATCATTTTCTATCACAAAGATTGAAATTTTGTACTTGGGGGCTTTAGATAATACTGACATTCAGATAATCAGCAAGTTAATTTCATGATTGCTTTTACATAGTGGTACTCTTCATACATGTGCATAGCCCTTTATATATACAGAGCTCTTACTATTATACATCACCTAATTTTGTAGTAGTCATGGATTGCAGCCACATTTGCTAAGTTTCCTTGACTTAAATTCTTCTGCTTCAAATATGCCTTGAATATAAAGTACTACCACATTCATCCTGCTAAAATATTATTCTCAATACTACACTTTCTTGCTTAAATCAAGAGCCATTTTCTTTCAGTTCATTCATTCATCCATCCAGTCAGTATTTCAACAAATGGCCTATATATCTACTGGCTGTCAGGCTTCACACTTGATTCAGAGAGTAAGTTGTAAACAAGGCAGGAATGATTTCTACCTCTAGGACTTTAAAAATTTTATATATAAGCTAATCATTTCCATTGTTTAAGGTCTAGTAGAAATTATGTCTTTCACATAACTTTGACTTCTTTCAAGTATGTTTCTCTCCTCTCTTAAATACTATTTCACTTTCAGTCTATTCCAAACAATCTGAATCTGTGCTGTCCAGTGAGGAGCTATTAGTAATATATGGCTATTTACCTTTACATTTAAATTAATTACAATGAAACTGAAGTAAAAAATTTTGTTCCTTTTTTGCACTAGCTATATCTCAGGTGCTCAATATCCAATCTGGTCTGGTTGCATGTTCATTTAGGAAAGAAAGCATAATTGGTATATTTCATTGTACTATGGTACTGTTTACAGTGCTACTTATACAAAGTACTCAATAATATATTTGGTTGATTCATTTATACTTATATGATAAATGGCTACACTGGCTATAAGGCTCCATTGATAGTGTAAAATCTTAAAAATTTATGATTCGAAAAGTTATCTAGACTGACACTATCCAGCATTGCTCAGTACTACAGCCAGTAGGCACATGTAGCTGTTGAGTCCTTGACATGTGGCTGGTGTAACTGAGGAACTGAATGTTTAATTTCATTTGATTAAATTATATTAAACTTAAGTAGCCACATATGTCTAGTGTTTGCTATATTAGACAGCACAGAACTAGCCTTTAAGTTTAAAAATATTTAACTTTGATGAGGCCATCACAGTAAGACTTACGTATTACATGTGAATTAGGGTGGATTAATATTATAAAATTCCACTTTGATGTAGAATTTAATTGAAAATGCAAAAATACATAATATTTGTCAGGGCTATGATCTGTCACCATTAAATATCTTGTGAGGGTTGGCTTAGAACTTCAAATATTTTTGCCTCTGTGCCTGTGCCACTGGAATTGGGCCTTAATGTGTCATTCAGTTGTGGCTCTACCAGCAGGATTTTTCTGCTCTTTGAGAGTGTATTTGTTCTCAAAAGGAAAGTGTTCCTCTGGGTATTTTGAAATGGTTGGTTCAGATATGTACAGATTGTATATCTTAATTTAGTCACACTTCGTTTTGATAGTTTCTCATAAGTAATATCTTTCTACCAAATTTATTTAGCTTTCTTTTTAATATGAATAAACATATACCCCTATAGTACTAGAAAGTTAAATTGATCTATAGCTGCTGAATGTGCTGATTTTTTTCTAGTGGCATTCACACAAGCTAGCAACTAATTCACTTTATTTTTCCTACAAGATTTAAGAAATAAAGCCTTCAAAAATTTTGATTTATTTTCCTAATGGTTCATATTCTATCATAGTTGTAGTAATTTGATACCTGCTTAGATCTCAGAAATCTAAACACACTTTTCTATTTTTGTGTTAGGATTTAAAAACTGTGTTTGGATTTTGGAGATTGTTTAGTCTTAAGCATGTATTTACATTCACTTAATCTGTAGTAGTAGTTCTCAAACTTGTATAGGTGACAGAGTTGCTGGAATAGTGTTCTTTTTTGGGACACTGAATTTATACTATATCAAATTATAATCTATGTAATTTATTCAAAATCAGATAATGTCTTTAATAGAATTTAAACTAAGATAAGTAGTTGCCAAAATTATAGGCTCAAGAACAATTTAGTAGGAGAGACACTAAAAATTGAGAACATTGTATTCATTTACTGCTTTTCTTCCCCCATTGGGAAAAGGTGACTATTTTATTTCAGTGGCAAAACACGGCCTGTAACATTGTAAATAAAATACCAATTTCTTGTGGTATTATGTATATTATAGTTCAAGAATTGTTTTGTCTAAGAGTAATGAATAATGAAAGGAGGGTCAATATTATATTTGGCAAGCATGATATAGAAGAAAATGTATAGAGATGAATTTGTTTATTTATAAAAATTGTTCTTTTATGTTTTTAAATTCTTAGCACATCCATATAGACTTGAACTATCTGCTCAATTTATTCAAACTCTAAAAGGTATTAATATATTTTTCAGTCCTATAGATTGATTATTAAATCTGTTTGCATACCTTTTAAATGGTAATCAGGGTCAAATACAGAGAGTATAATTATCTACAGTAATATAGTTATTTTCCATGTTTAATATGAAAGCTCTAACGTAAAGTTATTCCTTGATGATTATAAATATGTTTGTTCTTAATGTATTAGAAGCCTAACTATTGTCTCATGTCTCTGCTTTTTTTTTTTTAAGTAGCAGACTCTTTTTTGATGTTTGCACAGCTTACAGAATGAATTTTTCATAAAAGCAGACATAGACATGCACATTTGTATGTGTATGCCTAGGAATTTAGGCTTTAAAATGTTAATAAATATGAATAAACTTGGAACTCTTGTAACTCATTTTTAGTTTAAGCTGTTGCGTGGAATAATTATTATTCTGTTTTATTTTCTACTTAGGAAATATTTCTAAACTTGAAAACTGCTTTGGAGAAATACCACGAAGGTATTGAAAAGGCCGCAGAGGACTCTTATGCTAAGATAGATGAGAAGACAGCTGAACTGAAGAGGAAGATGTTCAAAGTGTCGACCTGACTAACAAAATTACACATCTTTTTGTAAATTGCTTGCCATCTTTTAATTTTCCATTTAGAAGGATAATAGTTAAGTTGAAGCGAATGAAAGTATCAGAAGTACCAAATAATGTTGGCTTCATCAGTTTTTATATACTCTCAGAAGTAGTTAATAAGATGAATTAGGCTTTTAAAAATTTATAATTAAAATAATTGTACAATTCGTGTCTCTACTTTTCCCCTTGTTGTAAATAGTTTGAGTAAAACAACTAGTTAACTTTTAAATATATATGTTTTTTTCTGTTACCATCATGGCTGTTGTTTTGTTTATTGACACGGAGAGTTGTGGCATTATTCAGTCCAGACTATGCCCTCAGCATTGTGGTCGGGATGTCATTTGATACTTACTTAAGCAATTCTAGGTAGATAATTTTTATCACTACTTCATAGATGAAGTAATTATAAAGGTCCTAAAAGATCAAATAGCTGAAGCAAAATTTGAACTGCAATCTGTATGATACTGAAGTCTAGAATGTTTTAATGTACCACACTTATCAATGTAGTTATTAGAAAGAGAAAGTTGGAGTCTAGTAGTTGATTTCATTGGTGCCACTGGTATTTTTTTCAAGAAAAATGAGTTAAAATGTGTAAAGTAACTAGAATAGTGCCTAGCATATAGTAAACACTCGATAGCTATTATCTATTAATATTTAAAGTCATGGAAGCTCCAGGTACTTTGCTCTTTGTCATAGATAATGAAAGTTACTTTAGGGAGCAATCAGGCTTTCAATGAAAGTCAAAGCCCTGAAATGGAAGGAGCAGCAAAATCTGGGTGTTCAGGGAAGAACAAATGGTATTACAGAATTGAGCGGTTGCCTTGTCTCTTCCTAGCTTCTTTAAATATTCATGAATTTTCATTCATAGAAAGGGCTGCCTCTGAGGCTAGGTAACAGGTATAAACATGATTAAATCTCTCTCATATTTAGAAAGTTTGAACCCTTGGACCTATCTCCACTTTTAGCTTCTGCACTTTTTTCACAACGAAATTGCTGGAAAACCTAATCTGTGCTTGTGAGTTAGTTTTATTCCTTGTTCATCGTGGCATTGGTATTTCTGTTCATACTCATCTTCTGAATTTTCTAAGGTCACCAAAAAATTCCTAGTTATCAACATTTCATGCATACTTTTAAATTTTTTCTCAAATTCTACCTACCCAGTGCTTTTTTCATTTTGTCTCAGTAACACCACTCTGTTGGTTCTCTGAATTCCTTGTTTCTTGTTAGTGTTTTCGCCCTAGAGCCTCATGCTGTGTTCACCTCTTGTGTTGCTGTTCTCGGGTGCTTCCACCCTTGCCTCTCCTTATCATAACCTCTATATTCCTCCTTGAAAACTTTTATCTATACCCACAGCTTCCATCACAAGTTAAACACCCATACAACTTTTACTACATTTACGTTTCTTTTATTACGTTTATCATCTCTCTCCTGATTTTCAGACTTGCATATCCAATAGCCAGTAGTTGTATTTAACTTACTGGCATTCTGATGTAGCCTAATAATGGACCTTTCAGAATAATGTGTTTAATACATGATATAAAATACAGGATAAAAAGGGAAACCAATTAGATTCTACTATGATTATCAAATATTTTAAAACATATTATGGTTACTAGTATCACTATCTGCACTTTTGCCATGTTGGAAAAAGAACTCATCCACTTTCTCTCTTATGCCACTGCACCTCACTCCCTTGTATCCATTTAGTTAGCAAGAACTATGGAATAATGTACCAATTCTCCCTCACATCTCATTTGCTTATGTTGCAACTTGCATCCTCATCATTATTATACTTGCAATAATCTTACCGGACTCTCAGTCTCTAACCCACTTCTACAAAGGCATTCGAGTATCTGTCATGCAAATTAGATGGTGTCAGTGATCTGTGCAGTTTTTTTAGCTTTTTGAACTGTCCTGCCACGGTGCCATAGTGAACTCACAGGGGAATCATGGAATATTTTAAATTTCCAAAGGAAACAACAATACTTGATGTGGGACACTGTTGCAAACTACTAGTTCAAGGTCATTCAGAATTTCAGCGTTAAAGCTTACTACATTCCTTTCAATAGCATCATATCTTTGTGGAGCTGGGGGGTTTGCTGAGATAAAAAGCAAGTATCACATGAAAATCATAGAATAGGAAATGAAGATGGCAATGTTCAATCTGATTCCAAGGTTTGAGAAGTTGTACAATACCCAATAGGCACAAATACCCAATTAGTAACTGGTTAAGAGTAAAATTAAAAATACTCTTTCACTGTGTGTGTGTGTGTGTGTGTGTGTGTGTTTAAACATTTATTGTTAGGACATAAATGCTTATTAAGTTTTCTGGACCTAAATGCTCAATATTTTTAAGTATTTTTCTTGGGACCATTCCCTTGGAGGATAAAGTAAACCTGCAGGAATTTGAAAACCATTCATAATCTAGACTTTCTCACCTTTTCCACTTCTCACTTGAATTTTGTCCTTGAGCAATACTGAGCTATTTGGCCTCCATAGCATTTAACACTTAATGTGTTGACACATGTTTTTTTTTTTCCCCATAGTATATTGTCTTTCCTTTGTTCAACTGGAAAATACTCGTTTTTCAAGTCTGATACTTTTTTTTTTTTTTTTTTTTTTTTTTTTTTTTTTTTTTTGAGATAGAGTCTTGCTGTGTCGCCCAGGCTGGAGTGCAGTAGTGTGATCTTGAATAACTGCAACTTCCGCCTCCTGGGTTCAAGTGATTCTTCTGTCTTAGCCTCCCTAGTGGGTGGGACCACAGGTGCGTGCCACCACACCCAGCTTATTTTTTTTTTTAATTTTTTTTTTTTTGTAGTTTTAGAATAAAGCCAATCTAAATGAGTTCAGTTAAATTATGCAATACTAAGTAGTGGAGTTTTTAATTTTAAACAAGGACAGCTAACCAAAACCCCAAACAATCGTTATACTGCCTCAGATTTCTCCTGACAGCTGCCTGTTTCGCCATGTTGTCCAGGCTGGTCTCCAACTCCTGACCTTAAGTGATCTGCCCACCTCAGCCTCCCAAAGTGCTAGGATTACAGGTATGAACCACCACGCCCAGTCAAGTGTAATGCTTTTTTTTAACTGTCAGCTTTTCCTTTTTTCTTTTATTTTTTACTATAATTTGTATCATTATATTGTATTGTTTTTACACATGTTACACCTTGCTGGACTTCAGGTTTTTCAAGGCCAATGACTAATCTGTTTTAGTATTTCTACTCCAGCATAGAACTAAGCACCTGGTAGTCACTTCAGTGTTTGCTTAAGGAATAGCCAACTCTCTCCCATGACCAAAGCATATAACCTTGAGGCCAGTTATCCCAGCAAGAAATGCAATCTTTTATGCATCTTTTCACACCAAATAACAACATATGTTTTAGCAGTTTGATATTTTCACTTTCTGTTTTTGCCCCCAAGGAGGGAAAAAGCCTTATTTAAGAGACCTTCAGTATAATATACATTTGATTTTTAAGTAAAGAGTAACTGAGTAAACTGAGAATTTTCCCCAGCACTTTGAAAATAACTCCCTGGGCCATGTAATCTTTTAAAGTTTATTAATGTGGGAAAATTAATACTCTGCAGAAGCAAATGGCCTCATGGTATATGGCATGTGCCGAAGCCTGATCTTAAATGCTGTGCAGACACAGACTTTAGTTATCATTTATGAGTTCAGGTACTTAGCTATATGTAGAGCAAATATTTAATTTCAAGTTCAACTGACATATTTCAAGGAGCTAATTCATTTTATGACAAAGCAAGGGAAATTGAAATATGCACCTTGCAGGCTAAAGTTAATACATCTGATTTTAGTTTAACGGGACGTTTCCTATTTTTAGTAAGACCAGAAAAGTTTTATATGAAATTCCATTTCAAATTCTGGACCTGCCACTTATTTCAATTAAGTTGGCACTCTCCCTTTGATTGAAATATGCTTCTCATCTTCCTATCCATATTGCCACCAGGGGGCATAACATAACTTGCATAACCAATGCTAAAATAGCTGTGGATTTTAAGGTTTGAAACTTAAAACCTGAAAATTTTTAAATGATAGTAACAACTCAAAAAAAGAAAAGTGTCAGAATTTAGAGATAATCTGTTTAAAGTTGAAATAGTTTCTAAATAATAGCCTAAGATTATCTTAAAATTTAGCTAAAAGGATGACTCAAGGCTTCAATTCTGACTATTATCTTTTAAAAATTATTTTGTCTAAATCATCCTCTTAGTAATTGGTTCAGGATTTCTAGTTCAGATTGTATGCAACTCTTAAAATTGAATTTTTCTAGGATAAGAATTTGAGATTTCATATAATGAGCAAGTCTCTTAGAAAATGAACCTAGAATACCACACGGGATTCTCACTGTAACTTTCTTTACTTCTAATAATCCTATAAAGTAAGTTCCTACCACTACCAACCTCTAATACGTTCTTACTGCCATGACATAGAACTTTCTAAAATACAAACTTCATTCTCTCTCCCTGCTGCTCTACAAATCTTTGGTGCTAATCCATAATACTTTGCAGAGCAATATTTTGAGGGAGACCACAGTGTAATGTGGCAGTTCTCAAACTGTAGTGTGTGTAAAATTTTCCACGGAAACTTTTTGAATATGCCACATTCCCTAGAGATTTGATTTGGTGGGTTTCTGGAGTTCTGCATATGAGACAGGCATACTAAATGATTCCAATAACAATAATCTTTGGAGATTATTTTAAGAACTGCTGTGTGACTAAGAGCACAAACTAAAATAAGTCCTCACCCTACTTGTAGTATAACAAACACAGGAATAACAAATACAATTGGGTGTTGATCAATGTGAGGGTTGGGGGCACCAATCCTCCTCACAGTGGAAAATCCGCGTATAATTCTTGACTCCCCCCAAAATTACTAAAAGCCTTCTGTTGACTTACCAATAACATAAATGGTCAATCAACATATATTCTGTATGTTATATGTATCATACTCTATATTCCTACAATAAAACTAGATAACTGAAAATGTTAAAAATCATAAGGAAGAGAAAATACATTTACTATTCATTAAATGGAATTGGATCTTCACAAAGGTATTCATCTCATCTTCATGTTGAGTAGGCTGAAAGGAGGAAGAAGAGGGGTTGGTCTTGCTGTTTCAGGGAAGGCAGAGGCAGAAGAGGTGGATGGGGTGAAAGGAGAGGCAGAAGAGGCAGGCAATCTCGGTGTAACTTTTATTGAAAAAGATCCACGTACAAATGGTCCTGTGAAGTTCAACCCCAT